TGAGAGGTTCAATTCTCGACAGTAAAATAAAAATAAAAGCCCATCAACCACTAAAAAATTTATTTTTAAATAAAAATTTTTTTAAAAAGATGGTCTTGGTGATGTACACCTGTAATCCCAGCAACTTGGGAGGCTGAGGCAGGAGGATCACAACTTTGAGGCCAGAGTGGGGAATTTAGGGAGATGTTATCTCAAAATAAAAAATCAGGGTTGGGGATGTAGCTCAGTGTAGAGTCTCTGGGTTCAGTCCCAATGCCACATACACACAAAAAGTGCTGGTGAGGATGGGCACCATCATATATTTCTGGTATAGCGCTTTGGAAAAATGTTTAGCAGTTCCTCAAAATGTTAAGCAGAGTGGCAATATGATTCATCAATTTCACTCCTAGGCTTCTACTCAAGAAAATGAAAACCAACATTCATGCAGACTTCTACACAAATGTTCATAACATAATAACCCAATACACAGGACTATCAGCTGATGGAAGATAACAAAGATGTGGTACATCCTACAATAAAATATTATTTGCCAACAAAAAGGAATAGAGTACCGATACGTGCTGCAATGTGTACGAGCCTTAAAGACATCCTGCTAGGTGAAAGAAACCAGTCTCAAAAAGCTATGTGCTACAGGATTTGTTTATATGAAATGTTCAGAATACAAAAATCCATAGAAATATTGCAGATTAGTGCCCAGGGGCTAGAAAAAGGTTGGAATGGGAATGACTGGTAATTAATACAGGGTTTCTTTTTGGTGTAGTTAGAATGTTCTAGCATTGTGAATGCTTGTACAACTCTGTTAATAAGCTAAAAAAAACATTGACTTGTGTACTTTAAAAAATGAATTTTATGGTATGTGAATTATATTTCTTTTTAAAGAGAGTGAGAGAGAGAGAGGGAGAGTGAGAGAGAATTTTAATATTTATTTTTTAGTATTTGGCGGACATAACATCTTCGTTTGTATGTGGTGCTGAGGATCGAACCCGGGCCGCACGCATGCCAGGCGAGCGTGCTACGGCTTGAGCCACATCCCCAGCCCGTGAATTATATTTCAATAAAATAGTTATTTTTTTTAAAAAGCCAGGCATTTATACCTGGGCAATTACACATCTGTAATCCCACTGACTCAGGAGACTAAGGCAGGAAGATTGAAAGTTCAAAGCCAGCCTTACCAACTTAGTGAGGTCCTAATTAACTTAGCAAGACCCTGCCTCACAAATAAATAAATAAATAAATAAAGGGTGGGGGGAATTGCTGGGGATGTGGCTCATTGGTAAAGTACCCTTGAGTTAAACCCCCAGTACCAAAAATAAATATATAAAATAAATATATAAACAAAATTATCATAGAAAGGACTGTAGAAGAAAGTTAAAGGGCTTTTGGTTTTTGTTTTTTAATTACCCTGATGACAGCAGGGACTTGATCTTTGCAGAAGTTTTAGGAGGACAGCAAAACGAGCCCTGTGGTATTTTGGAAACATCACACAGGTTTCCTGTGAATAATATTAGATCAAAAGTGTCAGGTTGGGGGCTGGCGTTGTGGCTCAGTAGTGGAGTGCTTACCTGGCACGTGTGAGGCACTGGGTTTGATCTTCAGCACCATACAGAAATTAATAAAGTATTGTGGGCTGGGATTGTGGCTCAGCAGTAGAGCACTCCTCTAGCATGGGTGGGACCTGGGTTTGATTCTTAGCACCACATTAAAAAAATAAATAAAGGCATTGTGTTGTGTCCAACAAAATAAATAAATAAAAGGAAAAAAGATTCTCTCTTTCTCTCTTTTTAAAAAAAAAGTATAGTGTCCATCTACAAATATATATATATATTTTTAAGAGAATTTTTTTAATTTTTTTTTTTTTTTTTTTAGTTTTCGGTGGACACAACATCTTATTTTATTTTTATGTGGTGCTGAGGATCGAACCCAGCGCCCTGCGCATGCCAGGTGAGCACGCTACCACTTGAGCCACATCCCCAGCCCCTAAAAGAAAATTTTTAATAAAGTGTCAGGATGAGGGCTGGGGTTGTGGCTCAGCAGTACAGCTCTCTTCTAGCATGTGCGAGGCGCTGGGTTCGATTCTCAACACCACATAAAAAAATAAGTAAAATACAAGTATCATGTCCAACTACAACTAAAAAAAAAATTAAAAAAAAAAAAAGCGCCTCAGGATGAGGAAACCAATTAAACAAGATAATGTGTGCCAAGCCTATTTCTTTGCTTGGCATATGACAGACGATAAATGACATTTGTCACTTCCCTCTTTCTTCGGGGACTCAGATCCTATCAGGGTACCCTCTGCCCTAAACAGTGGCTGAGGCTTTGTTCCTGTGTCCATAGGGCAGTAGGTAACAGAGATGGGAAGAGCAGGCCTGGTGTAAGAACCCAGGAATTCCAGCGTCATCCTAACTGACAAGGGAGACAGGGGAGCAGTGGGCTTGTGGCCAACTTCTGAAAGGGATTGATGAAGTTCAGGGATTAGGGTGGAGCTCAGGCCATCGGGGCTGCACAGCGCTCTGAGCACCTGGTTGGAGCGTGATGTGACTTAAAATCAGACACAAGGAAGCAGACTGCCATGTCCTCAAGATGGGCCCCCACTCCATGTGCTTGGTTGTGGGGTTTTACCTCAAAGAAGCTGAATGGTGAAGGCAGACAGGAAGTAAGTCATTATGAAGTTCGCAGAAGAAATGCAGTTAGGACAGAAGGTGACCCAGGTCACTGAAGGAGAGCTACAGAGCCCTGGTGATGACACTGAGAACGCCATCATCCTTCAGTCCTCTCCTTAAAGACAGTCCCATTCTCTGGTGAGGGCTCTTTGCTACCATAGTCCCAACCGATCCTTACTGGCCTCCCTTCCCCAAGGACCTTCTCTCTGGGACATTCTTTGTCCCCTAGAGTGGATGCCCTCCCTGTCTTCTTTTTTTTAGGTGAGGGTTAGCACAGCAGAAGTGCCTTAATTTTCCTGGGGGAAGTGAACTTTACAGGGAGACTAGCCGTGGCTACCAGAAAGCAAGATTCTTCTCTGAGCATCAGTTCTGTTCTTGTTCTTCCCTGGCTCTTTGCTGTGGGAGACTGGAGTGTTGTAGAGGTAGGGGGCCTGGCCTGGGGTCTGATTTCTGGTTCATCCTAGACTCTGATTCCTGCATAAGATCTTTCCTTTCTTCGTGCCCTACTGACCTTGTTCTGGCCTCTCTTAAGTCAGATACCT